CACGTTTAGTTATGTTTTCAGAAGGCGTTACACTGAAATCACATGAATTTAATAGTTTAGAAGCAACAGAAAACCTGCCCAAATTTCTCTCCATATCCCATTATGAGGTTCTGTCTTTTTTTAATAATTAAAAGATATGACATGCTTTGTTTTTCAGTAGATGCCCTACACCTCCCTTTCCCAAGAATTATTGTTCTCTATTAGAAGGTTTTGCTTTTCTTTCCTCAGGATCTGAAAGATGAAAAGAAGAAAGCTAAAATGGCAGCTGCTAGGTCTATTCTTGAGAAATGTACCATGATGCTTCTCACTGCCTCCAAGGTAACTAATTTTTTTCTGTTTGTTATCAGCAAAGCAAAAGACTTGAGAGCCACTCTCCAGAACACCTAGGGGACAGCATTGACTAAAGCCACATCAGTCAACATGTCTAGAGACCGGAAGGCTTTCTGAGGGACCCCAGAGGAAATGTTGACAAATGCAGTGGCTGACTCACTGATGAAACTGATAAGCAGCCTTGGCTGATTTGCCCGGGGGTGGGAGGGGGGGGCATTAATGGGATGCACCTTAGTATATAGCACAGAAAGATCCAAATAGTGTTGATGTATTTTTATTTATCTGCTTGCTTATAGCTTTTTTTTTTTCCGCTCAAATTATTGATCTTCAGACCTGTTTAAGGCATCCCGACTGTGAATCTGCCCGTGTTAACAAAGGAGCAGTGTTCCACAGAATGAGACTAGCTTTGGAACAGGTTATAGAGATTGTAGCAGACACTCGGCCCAATGGAGAAAATGAATCAGGCCCAATGAGCATCTATACTGGCATTAAGGAATTCAAGGTAAGGACAGATGAGTCTTTTTTAGAGACTATTTCTAGATGCAAGAGGGAAAACATTTCAGTGCTTTAGACTAGAACTTTCCAGTGATTTTCAAATACTTCAGTATGTTCAAGGCTTTTTGGTGTACTTTGTCCATATTCTGTCCAGAATTTTATGAACTAAAAACAATGCATGTATATGTATGGTTAAAATATAAAAATTCCTTCAAGAGAATGTGTCTGTACCTTGGTGGAGGAGGTTCACTCAGAAGGTAGGTAATGTTAGATACAACTCAAGACTACTGGTGGTTAACCCAAATGACTCCAACCCAATAGGTTGGTAACTTCTAATTTGTATTAAAATGACAAAATTATAAAATAGGTATTACTACGCAACTAACACCTACCATTAGATGGCTTTTCTTTTTTTTTCTTTTTTTTTATAAAAAGTTTTTTATTTATAATACAATTAAAACAAAAATGGACATAAGTGGCATTCCAGAATAAATATTCCTAACAGTTTGTTTCTTGTGATACAAAAACTTAATACATCATCCTTAACCTCTATATAAGCCTCATTCTTCTACACAATACAATTATATATACAATTATATGTACAATTATATGTATGTTTCAATCCTATCGTTAGCTTAAGATCCGAGCGGTTCTCCTTGATTCATACCAGCGATAAAATTTGTCCCAGATTTCGAAATATTCCAGTTCTGTCTTGTCTTTCATAGCCATAGTGAGCCTGTCCATCTCAGCACATGATAAAATTTTATACAGGATTTCTTCTTCCGTTGGAATTCCTTTATTCCTCCAATTTTGAGCATAAACCAATCTGGAAGCCATTAGAATGTGTAGCATCAAATAGAGTACACCTTTGTCATACTTCTACGTTGTTATACCTAATAGGAAAAATTCTGGTTTTAACTCTACCACTCGCTCTAGTATTTCTTCCAGCCATTCTTTAACCTTCGTCCAAAAATCACAAGCTCGCGTGCACTCCCACCACATATGATAGTATGTTCCAATTGTCAGATTGCATTTCCAACATTTAGAGGAAACGTTGGGACCCATTTTAGCTAATCTTATGGGCGGGAGATAGGATGGCTTTTCTATAATATAATCTTCTTAGTGATATATCTCACGGGAGTAGTATGGATTTTTCTTGCAATTATGCCTGTTTCAACCCAACTTTCGAGGGGAGGCAGGTATATGAAAGCTTGACAGATCATTTGGGAAGCTGCTTTGCACAAATATCATCTGGTATAATTCCCTATTCATATCAGCCATTTTACATAGATTGTTGTGTAGGTTATTGCATGTGGGAATTGGTATTATTTAACTGAAGTCCATCATCCTTTCCATAAGAAATGTATTCTGAAAAGAATGCAGCAGATTGTGGGTGTTCTCTCACATAAGTGTAAGACATGGGTCATATTTATAACATTTTTAAAGATTTGCATTTTCCTACTGCTGCTCTGATTGTAAACTGTCATTGAAATAAACATGCGCATGTGTTTTGAAACTGGGAAACTTGATGCCTTTTGAGTCTTTTGAACCGCAACTCTACACAGCCCTAATCAATACATCAACAAAGGATTGTGAGAGTTAGCCCAAACATTGGCAGGGCCCCAAATTGAGTGTCCCTGAGATGTGAAGCTCCATTGTGAGTCGTGCATAGTCACCATAAAGACACTGAGATGCCATCTTTAATTCAATTAACAAGATATTTTAAACAATAGCTTATAGGATGGAATACATATTAATAACTTTAGTTATAAAAACATTAAAAGAACATTGAGTGAATTTACCATATTATGGGTGGGAATGTATAGCTTGTTTTAGGTCATGTGATGGAAGAGAGCTTTGATTCTAGACCAGGGGTAGGCAACCTTGGCTCTTTTATGACTTGTGGACTTCAACTCCCAGAATTCCTGAGCCAGCCATGCTGACTCAGGAATTTTGGGAGTTGAAGTCCATGAGTCATGAAAGAGCCAAGGTTGCCTACCCCTGTTCTAGACCTTTCTCCTGTAGCTGTAGCTGCACTGGTAGTAGTAGTAGTAGTAGTAGTAGTAGTAGTAGTAGTAGTAGTAGTAGTAGTAGTAGTAGTAGTAATAATAGAGTTGGAAGGGACCTTGGAAGTCATCTGAACAATTCAGTAACTAAACTGAAACGTCTTAGTAACCAATGATGAAAGCCAGTTTGGCTTTCTGGATTTATGGGATTCAACATCTATTTACAAAGAGCATAAGCTTCCACTCATTTTTTATATTGTAAGTTGGTCATCTATGATTATTTAAGAGTATTTTTCNCACGTTTAGTTATGTTTTCAGAAGGCGTTACACTGAAATCACATGAATTTAATAGTTTAGAAGCAACAGAAAACCTGCCCAAATTTCTCTCCATATCCCATTATGAGGTTCTGTCTTTTTTTAATAATTAAAAGATATGACATGCTTTGTTTTTCAGTAGATGCCCTACACCTCCCTTTCCCAAGAATTATTGTTCTCTGTTAGAAGGTTTTGCTTTTCTTTCGTCAGGATCTGAAAGATGAAAAGAAGAAAGCTAAAATGGCAGCTGCTAGGTCTATTCTTGAGAAATGTACCATGATGCTTCTCACTGCCTCCAAGGTAACTAATTTTTTTCTGTTTGTTATCAGCAAAGCAAAAGACTTGAGAGCCACTCTCCAGAACACCTAGGGACAGCATTGACTAAAGCCACATCAGTCAACATGTCTAGAGACCGGAAGGCTTTCTGAGGGACCCCAGAGGAAATGTTGACAAATGCAGTGGCTGACTCACTGATGAAACTGATAAGCAGCCTTGGCTGATTTGCCCGGGGGTGGGAGGGGGGCCATTAATGGGATGCACCTTAGTATATAGCACAGAAAGATCCAAATAGTGTTGATGTATTTTTATTTATCTGCTTGCTTATTGCTTTTTTTTTTTTCCGCTCAAATTATTGATCTTCAGACCTGTTTAAGGCATCCCGACTGTGAATCTGCCCGTGTTAACAAAGGAGCAGTGTTCCACAGAATGAGACTAGCTTTGGAACAGGTTATAGAGATTGTAGCAGACACTCGGCCCAATGGAGAAAATGAATCAGGCCCAATGAGCATCTATACTGGCATTAAGGAATTCAAGGTAAGGACAGATGAGTCTTTTTTAGAGACTATTTCTGGATGCAAGAGGAAAAACATTTCAGTGCTTTAGACTAGAACTTTCCAGTGATTTTCAAATACTTCAGTATGTTCAAGGCTTTTCAGTGTACTTTGTCCATATTCTGTCCAGAATTTTATGAACTGAAAACAATGCATGTATATGTATGGTTAAAATATGAAAATTCCTTCAAGAGAATGCGTCTGTACCTTGGTGGAGGAGGTTCACTCAGAAGGTAGATAATGTTAGATATAACTCAGACTACTGGTGGTTAACCCAATGACTCCAACCCAATAGGTTGGTAACTTCTAATTTGTATTAAAATGGCAAAATTATATAATAGGTATTACTACGCAACTAACACCTGCCATTGGATGGCTTTTCTTTTCTTGTTTTTTTATAAAAAGTTTTTTATTTATAATACAATTAAAACAAAAATGGACACAAGTGGCATTCCAGAATAAATATTCCTAACAGTTTGTTTCTTGTGATACAAAAACTTAATACATCATCCTTAATCTCTATATAAGCCTCATTCTTCTACACAATACAATTATATATACAATTATATGTACAATTATATGTATGTTTCAATCCTATCGTTAGCTTAAGATCCGAGCGGTTCTCCTTGATTCATACCAGCGATAAAATTTGTCCCAGATTTCGAAATATTCCAGTTCTGTCTTGTCTTTCATAGCCATAGTGAGCCTGTCCTTCTACAGCACTGGAGATGGATAATCCACGATAGGGTTAACTTAATCCTCCTGCCCAATCAGATCAAGTCAGCCAAACTTGCCACGCCTGTCCTGGGCCTATCATCCCCAGTTTTCGACTTGATCTGGCCCAGAGCACACGTTGCAAGACTGGCTCACAGGCAGGTAGTTAGCTATCGTGGATTATCCAAAGATCCAG